TGGTCCGTTCCAAAAAGAATGACCGGTTTCTAAATTTGAAAATAATTTAGCTTAAACTTCCAATTCTATACTTAATGAGAAACTTTTATAACTACACAAATACTATGGACCCCTTTTGACTTGTTTAGGACCACAAATTTCAAAAGTCTTCATTTTTTCTTAAACTTCGTACCCAGTCAAACAAGTTCACATAAATTGGAACAGAGGGAGTACCTATTTTATCTGCTTAATCTAACACAATCTGTCATTTGTATTGAATTAATTCACATATCCTTAAAACCACATATAAATTCAATTGCTATCCATTTTTTAGGGTAAACAGTTTGGCGCCCCACCGTGGGGCCAAGGATAATATTGGCAATTTAATACAAATTTTCATAACACACTCTATTTTACACTTGTTCTTTGAGCTTTAATTTCAGGTCAAATTAAAAATACCAAACTCCCAATCTGCCCCTTTGAATGTTGATGCTGAGTCTGGACACCATGGCGAGAACAACAATATAGCGCACAACAACGAGATTCACCCTTCTGACCCTAACGGGGCCCCGGTCGCAGACCCAATCAACGCCAAATCCATGTGGCCATCGACGCTAACTTACCCACCGATCCGAAAGTCAGTGTTTGCGGGGGAGCCAAGTCGGTAACCAGGGATACGCATAGCAGTGAGGACGATGGGATCAACTTGCGGGTGATCTTCGAAATATTACAGGCTCAATAAGCAGCGATAGCCCAGCTGCAGAATCAAAGCCGCTCCCCTAACAGAGTTGAGCCCAAACCATCTCGGGAAAACATTCGTAGAAATGAACCAGTCATAGAGAGGCCGAGTGAAGTTGAACCCGGGACCAACCCCGAGATCATAAAGATGCTCGAGTAATTAACAAAACGGGTGGAATCGGGGGAAAAGAAAATCGAAGCCAATGACAAAAAAGTGGAAACCTACAACTCCAGGGTCTATCAAATCCCAGGAGCACCACCGATGCTGAAGGGCCTGGATTCTAAGAAATTCGTTCAAAAGCCTTTCCCTCCGAGTGCAGCCCCGAAGCCGATCTTGTCATGACCCTAAACCCGAACTCGGTCATGATGGCGCCTCTCGTGAAGACAAGGCCAACCAATTATACCCAATTCACTTTTTAAACAATTAAATATCATAAAAGCAGTCTAAAACATGATTAGCAATACTAAGTATCGGATAATGTCAATAAAGTGCGGAAGTACAACCCAACACAACCCTAACCGGGGTGTCACAAGTCACGAGCATCTACTAGGGTATAAATACAACTGAAAGCCTGGAGTGTACAAATATAGTCTAATGAAAAGAAGAGAGAGAAAAGTAGTGTTGCGAACGCCGACAGCTACCATGCTAAACTCTGATGACTTTGCCTCTGATCAGCCAATATATACCTGAATCTACACACAAGGTGCAGGGAGTAATAGGAGTACTCTGACTCAGTGAGTAATAATAATAAATAAAGACTGAAGGCAAGAAATCACGTAAACCATATCAAGATGTTGTATAGAAGCAGTCCAAAACCAGTAAGAAAACAGTGAAATCAAAATCTCTTAAAATATCTTAGCTCAGTTTAAACTTCTTAAAAATGACTTTTTCAATAGTTACGCAAACGAATGCAAACAATTAGTACAGATAAGCACAGAAATCCGCCCCTCGGGCACAAATACACAATCAATAGGTAATGACAGGCAATTAAGAAGATAAACACATAAAGGTTCGCCCCTCGAGCACAATCTCAGAATACTACCAGCCCTTCGGGCTATATCTCACATCACAAATGGGTACCCGCACTCACTGGAGGTGTGCAGACTCCGGGAGGGGCCCCTTACGGCCTAAGCGCAATATCAAGCCATCTCGTGGCATTAAATCTAGGCCCTCGGCCTCATATCAATCAACAAGCCACCTCGTGGCGTACATATCTCAGGACCTCGGCCTCATAATCAAATCAGTATCTCACTGCTGTGGCGTGCAGCCCGATCCAAAAGTATCTTCACAATACAGGCCCTCGGCCTTACTCAGTCAAAAATCACATAAGCCACTCGGGCAACAGTAAAACATGATGCTCAGCCCAAACATCATTTAGAATATCATTTAAGTCTCAAAACGGAGTAAAAATGGCTGAGTGATAAAACAGTGGAAAATAACATGACTGAGTTCAATTAATAAGTCAAAGTAGTGAGGAAATAGTAATAAAAATCCCCGAATGGTTCAAATAGTTGGCATGAAGCCCAAATATGACAATCAGCCCAAATCATGATGATAACAAATAAGTTTCAGTCAAATATGCGGTAAAATCATCAATCAGGACTGACCAAGTCACAATCCCCAATAGTGCACGACCCCACGCTCGTCATCAAACGTGTGCCTCACCTCAATATAGCACTACGATGTGCGATCTGGGGTTTCAAACCCTCAGAGCATCATTTACAATCATTACTCACATTTATCCGGTCCAAACTCTAGCCCGCGATGCCTTTGCCTCTCGAATCGATCTCCGGATGCTCCAAATCTAGCCGAAATCAGTACAAAACCATCAAAATGTGCTAAGTGAACAAAGCCCACTCGAAAATAATCAAATTACAACAAAATTCCCGAAATTGGTCAAACCCGACCCCCGGTCCCACATCTCGAAATTTGACAAAATTCACAAAACTAAAATCCTTATACTCTCACGAGTCTAACCATATGAAAATTATCCAATTCCGATACCATTTGATCCTTCAAATCATCATTTTACATTTTTAAAAGATTTTACAATTTCTTCCCAAATTCCATCCTAAATCACGAATTAAATGATGAATTCAATGATAGATTCATGTACTCTAGCCAAGTCTGAGTTAGAATCACTTACCCCGATGAATTTCTTGAAATACCTTCGAAAAATCGCCAAAATTCAAGCTCTCTAGGTCAAAATATTAAATAAAACCCAAAACCTCGTATTTATAGAGTACCCCATAGATTTCCACCTCCGCTGACCGCACAAAATCGATCGCGGTTCGCACAAAACCAGTGCGGTCCGCACAAAAACGACCGCGGCCGCATAGGCTTTCCTCTGCAGTGACAGACTTTAGTGTTTTGGTCATAACTTTTGCTACAGATGTCCGAATTGCAATATCCTTACCATTCTGGAAACTAGACACGAAGGACTACAACTTTCATTTTTGAATCATCTCAAAATTTCTAGTAGATCAAAAGATTTGAGCTTCCGAAACAGGACCAGTAAAATGTTCCCCACCGCGGCCGCACTGCATTTTGTGCGGTCTGCACAGCACCTACCGCGACCGCACTTTATTTTGTGCAGACCGCGCTGGTGGGTTCTGAGGCCCGCAACCCTCCTGGACCTGCTATAACTATGATTTTCGGCCTAAAACATCCCGGAACCTACCCGGAACCTCAAACTAATTGTACCAACACATCCCATGACATCGTTCAAACTTGTTCAAAACTTCGGAACGCTCACAACACATCAAATCACCAATTTAACATAGGATTCAAGCCTAAGAACTGCAAAGACTCTTAAATTATGCTTTCGATCAAAAAGTCTATCAAATCTCGTCCGAATGACCTAAAATTTTGCACACACATCCCAAATGACACAACGAAGCTACTGTCACTCTCGGAATTCCATTCCGACCCCTATATCAAAATCTCGCCTATCAACCAGAAATCGCCAACATATCAACTTCGCCAATTTAAGCCTAAATCTTCTCTACAACTCCACAACCCATTTCGATCGTGCTCCTACGTCACAAATCACCTCCTGAAGCTAACCGAACCCCTTCTAACACATAAGTCAACATCCGGTTGACTTTTTCAACTTAAGCCTTCTTAAAAGAGACTAAGTGTCTCAAACTTCACCAAACTCATTCCAGGCTCGATCCGCCCAACCCGATACCACAAAAACACGAATAACGAAATATAAAGAAGCTGAAATGGGGGAAACGGAGCAGTAACTCATGAGACGACTGGCCGGGTCGTCACAGATCCCAAAGAAGTTCCGCATGCCCAAAATTTCTAAGTACAACGGAACAACCGATCCATGTATCTCGTTGTTACCTTTTTTTCATTGTATTTCAATGTATCTTTCTGTATTTCATGTATTTCATTGTATTCACTGTGTTTAATTTTTTCTACTTTTTCAATATATTCACTGTATTTAACTGTATTCAATGTAATTATATAATTTCANGACCTGCTATACTTCATGTATTCAGTGTATTTTTATGTATTTAACTGTATTAAATGTAATATATAATTTCAATATATAAAACTATTTGTAAAGATACAACTAAAAAATATTTTAGTAAAGATACCACTAAAAAAAGAAAGGATGGATTGAATCTCTGAAGATTGCTCTGTTTTTGGGGTGTTTTTTGGTCGAGAATCTTTTCTATAACCGGAAATATAAATTTTGTGTGTTATAATTGAGTTTGTTGAGTTATATTAGGAGTCTATCTCGTTAATTGATTTACTTACCTTTTTTAAGAAGTTGAAGACCTTTTTTAATGCAAATTTCGTTACTGTATTCACTAATACATATGAATACAGTCTATACGATAGCTGTAATTCCCTTTTTTCCGCCGGATTTTCCTATTGTATTCATTAATATATTAGCTTAAATACACCGAATACACTCTATAACAAATTAAAACATAGCTATAAGAAGTAATTTAGTAAATGGTAGCTATAGCAAGCTAATAACCACTAAAACATAGTGGTTTTTGAAAATTTCACTTCAATAAATGAGCGTGTTAATAACGAACCCATCCTTGGACGGGTAGAGCGGGTCATTTGGGCTTGGGCCAAATTTGACAACCCTAGTTGTATAGAACTGACAGTTCGTTTAGAACAGAAATAGAAAGAGAGTATATTGCCTTGCAGCTTAATTCCAAACTCTCACAGCTACTACCACTACATGTTCTGGATTTCTTTTTTCCTTAGAACTGGTAGCTGATACTCCTAAGAAACTTGCATAAGGCAAAGCATATACAGTGATAAAAGGATGGCGAGACTACTTCTTCACAGCACAATAATATTGGCATTGGATTACAGGCAATTCCATATTAAAAATTTCTTAGGATAATCGACGCTTAAACCTGATAACAACGGCCTACAATTTTAACCAAAAGGAAATGTAGGATCTTTGCAAGTGATTAAAGGTACTAATAATGGTACTCAGAGAGTTCAGAAAGATTGAGACTGGGTGTTGAAACTAAGCTTACGATTTTTTAGCTTTTCCATAGAATGGAAACGAAGAATTTCCTTTTCTAGCAGAGGATTTTAGAAGTTCTTAATCCTGTCTCGACTCTCTAGTTGATCCTTTGAGCCCCAGGCAATAAGCTTGAAAGAGTGGGAACTCCTTGGTTTCTCATTTCCTCTTGTGTTCGTCTTATTTCTTCAGGATCTGCCACGTAAAAAAAATCAGCACATTAGCACGAGATATCTTATGTAATGTCTGTTTGATCTAGCAGCGGAATGACAGTAAATCAAGAACCAAAAAGTTAAAGTAACTTCAGGAAATGCAAGCAATAGAGTTTCGTCTCATGATCGGAATATGTACAGAAGACAATATAGGTTTACCAACAAGTTTACTCAATTCAAATTTAATGATATCTTATGTAATGCACAATAGTACTCTAAAACACCTTAAGGTCATCACTTATCAACTTAGAAAAGAAGAAAAGAAAAATGTTTGTAAAGCCATCCAATTCAATCAAGAAAATCAGAGATCGACGGGTAAATGGATAAAATTGCATAGATAACATCGGATACTAATCCCTATAATGAACCACATATATATTTAGCACAGTCATTGCAAAGCACATAACTCGAGCATTATGGACGGATAATTTGAACAGCTTTGTGGATTTACCACCCTATTGCATGTGTAGCCAACTTCATTTTGGTGAAAACAAGAGAGCACACTCACCCATATTTTCTGCTAATTTTGGCATCAAAAACATTACAAACAGCATAAATCCAATCATCAGGCCCACTGGACTTTTCACCAGTGACAATGGTTCCTTTATCTGCAAGAGAAATTCACTCAGTAGTTTGGAAAGAAAATTACAGAAAAGGAGGGCTGAAGGAAATTAAAGGGAAACTAGGAGATCAATGTCCGACCTCATAATACTGCTCCTCATTCAATGGCTCCAAAACCAGTTCAATCAGACTCCTCCTATTCTCGGTTAACGCTGCTTGAACCTTACATGGGTTCCTCGCACTAACATCAACTCGCACCTGACATCCAGAAAGGGATCCTAATAAGCATATAAATCTTTTTAAGGGAAAATTGATCAAGAATTAAGCAGATGGTGGTAGAGAAGCTCATTGGAGAAAAGAAGTAGCCAATTGCAACACCTCTATGAGATGTGTTCCAGCTGAAACATTATGGCTATTCTACGGTTAAGGAATTGTACATAGAGAACAACATTCACTTCTTACATAAAAAAATAATAGACCCCGGATTATGACCAGAAGGTTAGTAAAAGCTACAGAGCAGACAAGAGGGCAAATATCTCACCATGCTTAAGTGTATGGCTAACAGCAAATATGTGATAGATAATATGAATCACAATGTTATTTTGCTGCTGCTAGGAAATGAAGTCTACTCAATCATATCTGAAAAGTATAGCGCTGAAAACACCAATTATCACATAAACCACTCACATTTAAGCTCCATTTTATTTAGCCAAACATTTTGCAAACAGATCATACAAGAAAACAATGCACAAAATCAATGAAAATACATTATGCAAGTTTTTTCTTTTTCTTGGAGAGTGGAGCACTGCAGCAGTAAACATTCAGTTGAGGAAGCACAACGCTCATAACAATATATAGAGTCTAATCAAGATACATAACCTAAGATATCAAATCTGAAGACTGACTTAAGACATGGAGTCATTGGAAGGATACAATGAGAAATATCCATCGGGTCTCAAGAAAGTAACTCTTTGGCCACCATTGAGTATGACTTTTACATTTGAAGCTTTAGCTGACAAACCAGATCCTTTCAAGATAAAGCCTATAAAAGAACCAAGTTATAAAAGTTAATAACCTGGTAAAACATCAACTGTAGTCAGAGGCGGACCTATAGCCTAAATATGGGGCACCTAATCCATAGTCTCTTCGCCAAACTAGATATTTTATATATGTATTTTCTAAAATTGTTCTTATATTATTTGTTGGCACCCATGCTCCAAAAGGATTAAATGGCGCATTTAGTTGGATACTGAGTTATTTACTCAAACAAACACACGGATCAATTCCCACTTGATAATTTTTTTCTCTTTTCTTTACTGATACGCCCATATTCTAGAAATCCTAAATCGGCCTCTGACAGTGGTGAAGCAAAGTGAATCTCTACAACAAAAGGAGAACTTTAGCACTAGAATCTGAAATTAATAGAACACAGAGGTAGAAAAACTCTATTTTTGGGTTTCTCACCCGGTGATCGGTACCACGTTGGAGCCCGACTATATCCGGATTCGCGTTGCGTAGGGACCCATTCGGGGGGAGCCCTCTCTACCAAAGATTTTTTCATACCCAGGGCTCGAACCCAAGACTCTAGCAAAGGAAAGACCAACCTAAACTCTATCTATCTTAACAAAAAGTTAGGAAAATTTGACCAAAAATAGTAGTATAACTTTTTCTGCCAAATGGTTGTTTAATTAGTACGTTGGGTCATCCCAGATGGTTTCTACTTTCCTTGGATGGATTTTTATTCACTATTGATTGTACTATGTAGTATATATCTTTAGTTTAAAATAGCCCATCTTTCCTTAAAATTAAATATTTCAGCTAACAGATTAGTCAAACTGGCCAATAAATAGGATATAAATGATATGTCATCCAATGTGAAACTTATACTGACTACAGTTCTATGTATTCTGAAAATATAACTAGGAAGGAAGGTGGGGAAAAAAAAATTCAAGTATGTACCAGGAATTTTTACTCTAGCCATCACAGTATAACCATCAGTATTCCTGCAAATTAAAATTAATTGATAATGAAAACATAACAAGGAAAATGTGGATAAAATAATAAAATGGTGTTAATATGATGTAATAATCTTTAAATATTCAAAACAGGCTAAGATTTGAAATATTCAGATTCACTGCTCATATGCTGTGGAAAATCAATCAGTTGGGGTTTAATTTCTGTTAACAAGCCATAAAAAAATAATACAAAACAGGGGCACTGAAGATCTAAGATTCCAAAATTTTGACATTTTTTCCCATGAGAACACCAAATTTTTAAATGGAGATTAAACTTAGAAGCTAGAAAATAATCAAATGAGCCTTAATTTAGTGTTTAAGCTTGATAAATTGAAAAACAGGGGAAGTGAAAGATCCAAGATTTAAAAAGTTGACATATTCTAACACCCAAAAAGGGAAAGCACCAAATATTCAAATGGAGATTAAATCCCGGCCAAATACATAAGCAGGCCCTTAAACTTGGCTTCAATTTCCATTTGAACACTTAAACTAAAACTAGTTCTTATTAGACACTTCAACTCCAACAGAAGTGTGTCTATTAAACACATATTTTACATTTCCAAACAAAATGAAGTGCGTGTGTTGACGTACTAGGCCAACCAATTAGTAAATGGCACGTGTCAAGTAAACAAAAAAAAGAGAAAGCTATCGGACAAAATTCTTTCTCCCCTCACCCTCTCCATTCGTCTTTTTCTTCTTCTTTTCTATTCTGTTTTTCTTTTCAATGTTTTTTTCTTCCTCTTTTGTTCTGGTTTTTGTTTTATTGTTATTCTTTCTGATTGAGGTGGTTAAATCATCGCAGACCCATTTGCTTACTATTGCAGATCTCGTTTCTAAATGGTATCTGTTCGACTTGCTTGATAAATACTGGCATTAAGAAATTGTTCAAGACAAAAAAACTTAGTGGGAAGAATTTCTTGTTTTTTTGGGTATATGGAGAACCTCAATTCCAGACCCCCATACCTCACCGAGACCCTAAAAATATTTAGTGAGTAAATACTTGGACATGACGGTAGTGAAGGATACAGTCTATGGTTGTTTAAAAGGAGTAAATTGTTGCGGAAGCCAAATGTATATAGTGTGAATAAGTCACAATTACTATACCAAAAATTATGACAGCCACCAAATAATAAATAAGACAATAAAGCAACAATAAAGGGAACACCAGAATTTACGAGGTTCGGCTAATTTTGCCTACTCCTCGGACACAACCAATATTTTATTCCACTCCAAAAATACAAGTGAAATAATACTAAAGAGAGAAGATACAAATGCCTTAAACAGATGAGAAGGCAAATGAGAGGTGTGTTTCAATCCTAAACATTAGGCCTTCTTTTATAGGGGAAAAATCCCCCCCAAACTTAACTCCCAACCAATGTGGGACTTTGGCATTTTGCCAAACTTCAACAAATCTCCACCTTGGCAAAATTCCACATTTTCAATTCTCTCTCAATAACAAATTTTGGTTGTGTCTTCATCTTCAATCTTCAGTGTTCAACAATGTTGATCAAATCCAAACAATGTTGAAACTTGACCGCAGTCACCACCTTTGTCAGCATATCAGCAGGATTCTCTGTAGTATGAATTTTCTTCACCGTGACTCCACCTTCTTCTATGATTTCTCGTACGAAATGATACCGAACATCAATGTGCTTCGTCCTTGCATGATAAACTTGGTTCTTCGCTAATTGAATAGCACTTTGACTATCACAAAAAATTGTGATACCTTTTTGTTCAACACCAAGCTCCTTTAGCAATCCTTGAAGCCAAATTGCCTCTTTCACAGCATCTGTAATAGCCATGTACTCTGCCTCTGTTGTAGACAAAGCAACTGTTGACTGCAAAGTAGACTTCCAACTAACTGGTGCCTTTGCAAAAGTAAACACATAACCAGTAGTTGATCTTCGTTTGTCCATATCACCCGCAAAATCTGAGTCACAATATCCAACTACAGACTGATTGTCTTCCTGCTCAAAAACTAACCCGACATCTACAGTATTATGAATATACCGTAGAATCCACTTCACAGCTTGCCAATGCTCCTTCCCTGGATTGTGCATATATCTGCTAATAACTCCAACAGCTTGTGAAATGTCAGGCCTTGTGCAAACCATTGCATACATCAAGCTACCAACAGCATTTGCGTATGGTACCTTTGACATATACTCTCGTTCAGCTTCATCCATTGGCGACATAGTAGTACTTAGCTTAAAATGGGAAGCAAGTGGAGTACTAACTGGCTTAGTCTTGTCATCTATGCCAAAACGTTGAAGTACTCTCTTCAAATATTCCTTTTGAGATAAACAGAGTTTCTTTGAACGTCTATCTCTAATTATCTCCATGCCAAGAATTTTCTTTGCCTCACCCAAATCCTTCATCTCGAACTCCTTCTTCAGTTGAATCTTCAACTTATCAATTTCTTCCGAATTCTTGGAAGCTATCAACATATCATCAACATATAGGAGAAGATATACAAAGGAACCATCTTTAAGCTTGTGCAAATACACACAATGATCGTATTTGCTTCTCTTGTACCCTTGCCGCAACATAAACTCGTCAAATCGCTTGTACCATTGTCTAGAAGATTGTTTCAATCCGTACAACGATTTTTCAAGTTTGCACACCATATTTTCTTTTCCAGCAACTTTGAATCCTTCTGGCTGATTCATGTAGATTTCCTCCTCCAAGTTTCCATGTAAAAATGCAATTTTTACATCCATCTGAACTAGTTCCAAATCCAACTGTGCTACCAAAGCCAACATAATTCTAATGGAGGAATGTTTTACAACTGGAGAAAATACTTCATTGTAATCAATTCCCTCCTTTTGAGCATATCCTTTGGCCACCAATCTTGCTTTGTAGCGAACATCTTCTTGGTTAGGAAATCCTTCTTTCTTTGCAAATACCCATTTGCACCCAATTGCTTTCTTTCCCTTCGGGAGATTGGCCAATTTCCATGTATGATTCTGATGAAGGGACTGCATTTCTTCATTCATGGCAATCCTCCACTTATCTTCTTCTGAACTTTGGATTGCGTCTTTATAAGTGGTAGGAACACCATCAGCTACAATTGAGGTTGCACAAGCAACCGTCTCTATGAGACGAACAGGTTTCGTTATTGTCCTTTTTGGCCTGCTGGTTGCTATTGATTCAAGTTGTTGTCGAGGTTCCTGAGTTGGAATCTCCCTCTCTACTGGCTCTTCTTCCAGAGGGTAATCTTCATGAGTTTCCTCCTCTGCTTCTTGTGTAGGAAAAATAAATTTTCCCTCAAACTCCACCTGCTTTGATGCACCACCAGTTTGTTTGACATCTTCAACTGTCACCTTATCTGTTATGGCAGATTCATCAAAGGTAACATCTCTGCTGAATATAATATTCCTTGTCTCTGGACACCATAAGCGGTATCCTTTGACTCCAGAAGTAATCCCCATAAATATAGCCTTCTTTGCTCTCGGATCCAATTTTGACTCTTTCACATGATAGTATGCAATTGAGCCAAACACGTGCAAAGAGTCATAATCTACAGCAGGTTTTCCATACCATTTTTCAAATGGTGTCTTTCCATCAATAGCAGCAGATGGTAGACGATTAATGAGGTGGCATGCATATGTAATTGCCTCAGCCCAAAATTCTTTGCCCAAGCCAGCATTGGACAACATACACCGTACCTTCTCCAGCAAGGTCCGGTTCATACGTTCTGCCACTCCATTCTGTTGTGGTGTATGTCTAACAGTGAAGTGTCGGACGATGCCATCATTTTTACAGACCTTATTGAAATGATCACTTATGTATTCACCTCCATTGTCTGTGCGAATACACTTGATCCTCTTGCCTGTTTGATTCTCCACCA